AAGGTAGCCATTATCATCTGTAGTAAGCGTCTGCGGAAGGACTAGTCTCTAGAAATACTTGTCGTGTCGAAATATTATCATACTTGGTTCCGAAGACGAGAATTTTGTATGTTTTCTAATCTTCTACGAGTACACTAAATGGTCTTCAGAAAATATCTCTGATGCAGGATATTTTTCCGAAACACACTTGTGCTGGCAAGTGGGATGGCACAGAAGTCGTCATCGAAGATATAGACGTGCCGGTTTGACACGATCTGCCGGAGGGGGGAGTATGAAATAACGAAATGCTGGCGTTTAAGGATATCGCTGTGAAGCTTAATCTTAATATGATGATTCAGTAATTTTAATGGTCAGGTGTTTCAACTAAAGGCACATTACTATTAGAAATACATAAAGTTGCAGATTTGTCAGGTCAACATCTGAAAGAGTCATATAAAAAGGAAATTGAGGTAATGACATTTAATGATAAACGATTACTTTGTGCGCTGATTATATAATAGCATATAATATATTTAGCTCAATAATAATTATGCTCATAAAAAATGTCTTTATTTACCCATATTTGTATATACACTCTACCTTATACAGCAATATCCACACGCTGATATTAACGTCCATCTTAAAATTCCTAGATGGCAAATGGTTGTTTTTACCTGCTTCTTTTTGCTGCAGGCAGCGGTAAGGCACAAGCAAATTTTAGAAAGATTTTAAGGTTTGGGCCGTGGACTATACTCAACTAAAGTAGAATTTGACCGATTTGCGCATGCCGCACAGAGGAATGCTTGGCTGAAATCGTAGAAATCAAGCCATTCAGGTCCTTTGATATGAGTAACTTTAGGCATTTGGTTATGGTGTAGGACAACAAGTCAAGTCAGAAAATAAAGGGTTGCATAACTTGTGCATTGAGGCTGCAGGGACTGGGTTTGTGAGGAAAGCCGGTTATTGGGTAACTTAACTGTGGAGTAGTTTAGGAATTTATGCACTTTGAGAGTAAAGGTGACCATAGGCGACTATACCAGCGGCATTCATCCTAAATTCCATAAACTTGTAACTGAAACCGTAATCAATGTAAAATCGTAAAAATGAACGTAAAAAATATGATCGAATTACGCGTACATAAGAGCAAACCTAAAGGTTTCACTACGTTTTATAACAACACATGTACTATTCCGTAATAACAATCGGTGTAACAAAACACTTCGGTTACGCGGTTCACATACTTATCGTCTTCTAATATTCGCCTTATATGTAAAAGTTATTCGTTTTCGATCTAGTTGGAAAATTATTATCAGTTTATATTGAAAGTCCAATATGCCACAAAAAGATAGCCTTAGCAAAGATTTTAAACACTAAACTTTCCGTTAATCGATGGTTTTGAACAAGCCCTGTCATAAACGGTTCCTCTACGAATCAAAATGGGTACCTTTTTATATCGTAGCCAAACCTGTAGGAAACGCAGCTTTTATAAGCAGCCAAATTTCTATTTGTAGGACGCACAACGATAGTCAAAATCCAGGCGGTGGCAATGACGCGAATGCTAGTTTTTTTGAATAGCCGTTTTAGAAGCGCACCAACTTCTACATGGCAGAACAGGCATAACCCGTATTTAATGGGGACATCCAAGAACCAAGCGTAAATAAATCAAGCGATCAATCATGGTAATGAAGATCAATAAAACTAGGACATACCGCTTGGCTACGTAGCCCCACAAAGCATTAAAGTACGGTTATGGTACGTCCTCGTCCTAAATGATCGTGAATGAAGACATTCATTCACATGCACACTCTAGCGCATTTCACAAGGGGGCACCAATAATATTCGTACATCCGCCCGCTACCGAATGTCTCCAAGTGTTATTCTTTAAAAAAGAAATCGGCATTTTATGTATTTGATCTTTTGCCTGCCAGTCTCTCGATCGTATAGAAGAAAATGGGGGTGTACGGTATAAAGACTATGTTCGTAAGATTCGTTGGGGGATCTAGCTAGTGTTGCATGCAGTCACTGCGTAAGCTACTGCCGCTATCGTTACCTTCTCAATACCCCATGTTCTTTTTCTGTTGGACGGTAATTTGACCTGGATCGCCATCTAACCCAGCACATCGTCTCGTTATGACGGCGGCGACAAAGTCAGCTTGGCCCAATAAGCCAACGAAATGCGCAGACAAAAGTTGGCTTTTTCTCATAGCCTTCGTTTCTCCAAGTGAAATGGTCTACAGGCTGGTTAGGTCTTCGAATGGCAAGCGGAGGCGCAGGTTTTGATGCCCCGCTCCGGTGACCTGCACCAGAAAAGAGAAAAAGTACCTACCCCGTTCCTGTTTCTGTGTGCGTACGCCTGTCGCTCTTAAGAGTCAACCAGAAGAAACAGAAGTGACACGATGCGCAGCCGTGCGCCTGTTGCGTGGTGCTATATCGGCCGCTTCAGGATCTTGCCAGCTTTGACCTTGCTTTTCTGCCATCTAAGGCTGCCTCATCTGCCTCTAAATGGCAAAAAAGGAACTGAGTCTGTCAGGAACCCATTCTATTCGGTTAGATATTTGACTTCCATAGTGGTCGGTCGATACGTATTCTACAATATGTATGCGCGATGTGTGAATGTGTGTGTGTGTGTGTGTGTGAGTGGGTGGCTGTCTGCGTGGGTGTATGTTCCTAAGGCCAATCAATTGACGTGATGATAGACCTCTGTCCTCTGACGTTGCTCGGACGCTGCAAAGAGAAGGAAAGAAGAAACGTTGCTTTTTCCTTCTTTCTACTCGACTGACCTGAACCGACGACCCATCACCGAATCGACTATCTATGCTATCGTAGGATTGCTCTTTCGGACAGAGCGAAGTCGCTGATCGCTGCAGTCAGGGTTGGTCTAGACCATGGCGTCGTCGACGCCATCTCACATGGGCTCCGACCATGTGACTCTGCTCCATGCGTTCGAGATGAGCCTTTCTGAATTGGCAAGTAAGCGTCGGCTTCCCAAAGAATCATACGAAAGACTTTGGAAACCTCAACCAAGAGCAATACTCAAGAAACCAGCAGCGGATAATTCCTGCTAGTGTCTCTCGAAACAGGCACATTTGCAGATATAGTTGGCGGAAACGCAGATCAGGCATATAGGCTGCCTGGTCTGGCTGGCTGACTGGCTGTTATGAAATATAAATCAAGTGGGAGATGTTCTCGAGTTTCCCAGTCCCATCGGAAATCAACGTTGTTTGAAGTATAGACTAGCCAAGTTCGGCGTATATTGACACGACATATCTCAGATGAAAACTTGCATTGGAAGCACCATTCCAACAGATACCTTACAATTTCTGAATCTAAGGAAAATGTCAATATACGCCTTTGCGAATAGTTTCGACGATCTATCTACTTGTTTATTTGGCAGTTCGTAAAACTGGACAATGGTATGTTATAATATTGTGGATGTTCAAGATAACGATGTATTTTATTAACTTCTACAGTAATTCGGACGGCTAGGTTTTCGGTTGCTAAATCGGAGGCTGTTAATTCTAATCCGGGGGGACCCGTGGCCATGCCTCGCTTTAAGCTCACAGGTCTGTTATCAGGAGCTATTTAAATTTTTATACTTCCTTTAACGCAAATCTGGTCATATGTTAAATAGTTTTCCTGGAGTTTACAGCGTCAGATTATGATGGGCTACGCAAAGCAGTTTAGCAGTATGAAAAGTTTGAATAACGTTTCGCTTACACGGTCAAAATTTGGTAAATATTTACATTGAGTCCTTGGATATCCATAACGATAAGATGATTGGGCATTAGACGAGAGTAATGACTTTAGGGGCAAACATGTAGATTAGCTTTGAAAATTAGCATTTAGCGATTGAGTTTTTGTTTTTCGAAACTGAGAGCGTCTATCAAATAATGATCAAAGCGTAAAGAAAAGAGGCTTCTATCGAAACAACACTCACTTACTAGTGCAAAGGCTTAGTGAGCTAAAATTGGTAAGTTGAAGACCATAAGAGAGGTGACTACATTACAACAACTAACAAATTATTGAACTCACGCTAATTTTTGAGTAAAACAAAAAAAAAAAAAAAGAAATTTACAATGCTCCCCCTAGCGGCCATATATAGAATCTCACGAAACACATAGGAAAGATGGAGGAAAATAAATGTAAAGCAAAAATTATTTCTTGACGAATTGAGACCATGACGCATAAAAACTCGTGTACTGTAGTCTAAGGTAAATATGAGCAACTAATATTACCAGCGAACGATATGGAAGCATAGATGAGATCTGGATCAGCCTGTGCCGCTTAGTAGAAAAGAATCAAGACGATGTCGAGCAAAACAAAAAGTATATATGCTGAATAGATTCGGGCATCCTTGTAGTTCCATTGAGTATCAGAGTTCATTGTTTGTACTAGATATTACTGGAAATAGAAAAACTAATCGCGACATTTCAATTACGTCTTGAGTTGAGGAAGCCAGAGTGGGGCAATGGGTACGTCGCCCATTCATAAGGCTTCAGATAATAGCAATCATAAGCACACAGCTATTGGGAAACTCCCAGAGCGCTAGCTTTAATGTGTAAATAATAAAGGGGAGTATGATATTAAAGTATAGTTGTTTTACATTAAAAAATGCAACTAACTAGTCAACACTTGTTACTCATTGTTGTCAGGCGGTAATCAAACAATACATGCGCAACAATTTGATATAATACGCACGATGTAAGTACATATATATATATATATATAATTGGGTTTTGTTATTGAGCTTTATGTTGTTGGATAGGGTCATATGACGGTACAGAAAGCACTTGAGATCAAAGGCTTATGGCTTAGGTTTTCTTAAGACTCAACATCGAGTCACTGTCTTTTAGAAAAGTTTCGAAGAATTCTTTTTGATTCGCCTTAGCGTGCTCTATAATTCCTGGAGGCTTAATAACATTATAAAGGCCAGTCAATGATAAACATTGTATTAAACTCTGGCTTTATTTAGGCACGAGTTGTTATCAAGCCTGATCACCATGTGTGGTTCTCTCTTGTAGTTGGTCGAGAGCCGATTCGGCTTCCAGTTATGGTTTTTATCCATGGAGAATCCTATGAGTGGAACTCCGGCAATTCATACGACGGCAGTGTCCTCGCGAGTCACGGAAACGTCGTAGTCATCACCCTGAATTACCGACTGGGCATATTTGGTAAGTACCTAACGTCAAAACAATACCCAATGTTAGGTAATGTTAAACAATTTGTACTGGCAGTACTAGTGCTAATACTATTATTAATCTAATAGACCACATTCTATAGATCTTTATATATAGAATTATCTAAAGAGTTTGCGCAATGTATAATAGTGAAAAATTAATGATTATCTAGAAAATGTCAGCTGCTTGAGGAGCATAGCCATAATGCACGGTTTTGTATACGATCAAATGAGACGCCGGTGTGCATTGAGGTCAAGCTGAGGACATACATTCAAATACCATTCCACGCTAGTGATGCAATTATGTGCCATACAATACTGTACGTTGTGGCTTATAAACAGCATTTTTGTAGCATATAAAGTTGAATTAGGAAATTCCATCTCAAGATACAACACTCCAGTATAAGATCTGTATCTAGCTCTCCTCCCTTAATAATGTACGTGTGAATGTAGCAATGCCTCATTTGTTTAAGACTGAATTGACTGTGGTGTGCATGTAAGAACGATCCTAGCACACGTACAACTTCATATGTGCTTTACAAATTAGTTAGTCTGTATAAATACTCTAATATAGTCGTTAACGACGAAATCTATTTTATCGTTGTTGCTATTGAGCGAGAAATTGAAATTGCTAGCGCTGATGTCAACGTATCCAATAATGCTCCTATGAGAACTCAAAGGCAGTCATCTAATGGAGGGGATAAATATGAACGCGTTAACAGCCGTTCGCTCGGCTATCGTTTTACCATTTCTTTTGTTTAGTGCCCTTGGTACCCTCTTGTTTATATATGCTAGCATTATAGACAGCAAGCAGAAGATAATCTTGCCTAGCAGCAGGAAAAGGTGAGATGCAAGTCCCTGGCCGAACATCCACTTTTGCTAGGTGTTTCGTAACCAGGAGTACACTGCATTTATTCAACGGCACGCACGTCCTTCTAACGTAGGACTGATAGAGTCCTAGACACTTGGCTTGGCCTAGACTGTGTCCTTGTCCAGTGTTACATGTTGTTCATGTATTTGCCCAGGACTCATTGTAAGTCGTCCTTGCTGACTATGACATCAGTGTCCCGACAGAACTCAGGACTGTTTTGGCGAGAGAGCGATCGATCCGTCGTCTCCGGGCTTCACTCCCGATGGACATGGGAGTGAGGCCCGGAGACGCTTGGGAAGCCTTTATGGGACAGAGCGGCAACGTGGTGTTAAGAAGATGAAACAAACCAAGCGAGAGTTGCGAACTGGAAGAAGGCTTGCAGCACTTAGTGCGGGCCATTCTTGTACATCATGGGCGGCGTGTGGAGTGCGTGTGAGCAAAGCGGAGTGCCGTTAAACGCGGCGCATACATTATCGCCCTTTACTTTTCTAGGAATAGTTTTTCTTCTTAGTATCGATTGGCCCGGCCAGACGAAGGGGTGGCAAAGTTAGACGTGGAAAAGTCTGAAGACCAAAGTTCATTTTGGAATTTATGCAAAGTAAGCTACGCACGATTACTTCAGCCTTCTGTTATCACCAGACCATGACGCTCCCTCATAGTTGTCCTCGATAACAATTGTCGGCAGCAGGCCTTGACTGCTAGACCTGGTGGTCTCTCATGATCGTTTGCCTGATGCTGCTTAAAATGTTGTTCGCTTGTCGAAGAACACGAAATACTGAGCAATGCAGGAAAGAAAGCACTCTAAGCACATCTTCACCATCAGGATACTTCACTCCCTAATAGCTTTTGTTCTAAGGTATATTTAATTCGGCTTTCTACTACGATCGTAATTGAAAAGCGTACTTTGCGAAACGTTAGTATTGCTGGACCTCGTTCCAGTTGTATAGCAGTCGTTGGTTTGTTAGCCGCAACAACGGATCGAATGGAAACGTGTACTCAATGAACGAATCTAGAAATACTTACCTGTCCTCTAAGTTGGCTGTGGTGTTCAGCTTTTGGGGCGGAGAGATCTAAAAGCTTTTGACATCGAAAGTGCTGAGCGCAGTCCTTCTTTGTGAACTAGGAAATTCGATCGTGAAGGTTATTCGTGTTTCTAAAAATAGGTAGAATTCGTGATTTAGGTTATACAAGTTTCGTAGCGAACTTTTCATCATAGCAGGAATAATAATTAACCGAATGATTGTACATTAGAGCCGTTCCCTTTGCTCGCGTCGGACTAAGAATATTGCGTAAGCATTCTGAATCTATCGTCTCTAAGACACTGCAGTTTTAATTCTAAGCAATCGTCATTATTTAGGGTCATCATAAAGACCGCAAACAGTTGATTCTGTATAATCAACGAAGATGAATGGATAGACCCCAAGCACTTGAGTATCCTATTGGTTTCATATTCTGAGAATATACAATACGTTCATGGGTTGGCGAATTTTCATCGTAAGAGGCGTAGCAAAGGCTGTTCTTGAAGGGTATCATTTTTGCAGGCGAGGAGTTGTGCGTACCCACAGGCCCTAATCTCATTAATGTACTTTGCATTTTAATGAAGCGCGAGTATCGAATGGACTCGAACTTTCATGTGCACTTGACGCACCCTGTGTGGGAATTCCCCTATCTGAAGGGGGGACGACTAGAGAGATACCTCGGTGAGAAAGTGTTACATCGATTCTTTGATTTCGGTGTTAAATATAATACCGTCCTAAACTCCATTAAAACATCCCTGTGCTAATTTACTATTCATTTTGATTGTGGTACAAGAGAAATATTTTCACGTGTTTATTATCGCTTGGTATTTCGAAGCGCTATGTGGCCGCAAAAGCCTCATGTCGATAGGAGAATGGTCTCCTGTCTTTCTCAACGCTAAAAAGCCCGATTGGACTTAACGCTAAAAACCGTCGTACTTCCTCTGCATGATCTCGGAATTAAACCTTGTGAGAAGGTCTCTATTGTCTGCTTTACAGAGTTGCCGTTAAATCGTTGCTTTCGCTCAACAACGATAGAATGCGGTAGTCTGCATACTGACAAGTGATTTGCCCTCCAGGAAAAATTGAGTTTTGCTGCTGTTTGTTTTTCTTCCTGCATTGGGCCAAGGCCAGAGTCGCAGTCCTACCGCAACATTCGTACCTTGCCTTAACAAATGAAGAGTACCCCATTCGTTGTTTACAAGTACAATCGTTACTACTATTCTTGTTCGTTTTTGTCTTTTGCTCTTGATCTCGCCGAGCCATTACGTGGCCTACTTTCTGATTGTGTTGGTTTCTCTGTCTGTGTCTTTACCAACGGAACGAAAATCGGTTTGTTAGTTAGTTGGCTGGGTGTAAGCAAATGCTTAAGACGGTAGGCGACATTCCATCTTCTAAACGTGAGGTCGTGTTTTTCTGCGGTGCAATTTCCATTCTTCTAACGAAAAAGCTCCTTCGTCCTTTTTTTCCTACGTGCACGCAACAGCTGTAGGATGAGGAAGGCTAAAGAAAACGGGAAACAAATACAACCCGCAGATACATTGACGCAAGAACGTTTTAAGCCAGTTCAAAGCCGACATAAACCGCTTAGGCCACCTCTTTACGAGTAAGACCACCGATTACTACAACTCCTAACCGCTTGCTTGCCTTTGCTTGTCATAAACCTACATGTATTGTCACGCTGCGAGTGCTGGGGTGTTGCTGGTTTATCCTATGATTCTTAATAGTAAGACGCAATGATACTCTGCAGCATCCTAATGTCATCTGCCTGTACTCTGCAGCTCCCCGGATCTTTTCCGATGGACGCCATGCCCTGACTCGCTTTAGTTGGTCTGGACCGCTGCGCGGTGTTTGCTTCATCCAAGGACAAGGCCGGCCTGCCATCGCCAATCCCAGCTCTTTCAGCTGACGCCAGCGTTCTCGTCGTTGCTTACCGTTAAAGCGTTGTCTGACGCAGGCTAGGCAGAAGTCCACGATTAACACGGCAAGGTTTTTAGCGCAGGCCCGGCATAGTCGACTGTGGCGCCAGCGAATGGCTTTCGCAGCCGCCTTGACAGCTTTTGTCGTCTGGTTTCCTAGCTGCATTTCATAGAAAGACTGGATGAAGGGAAACGTAGTGCGGTACTGTCCTTGCCAAAAGATGTAGTTGGCCTATTAAGGATGGTTACGACAGCAAAGAAAGCACTGTAACGGCAAATGGGAACTGACAGGGCCTGAACGCTCGGTCGACCGATTACTCATCGACCGATTAGGGTAGCTAGCCCGAGAATGTGCCCATTGTAGCATTTTCGGAGCAAGTAAGGCCATTGCTTCCCAATATTAGGCTCCAGTCGTCTGATGACCAAGCTACTGTAATGATGGTGTTCCTGGTCGAACGCAGTAATACAATTGCTAGCGTTCATACAGTGGCAGGAATTAGAATTCATATAGCATATGTGTTAGCAGTTGAATCTCTGAAGAAACATATTTAAATACAGATTAAGACGTTGATTCATCATCGCGCATTTTGTCGTAATAAACCAAGTATATATATATTACTTTGTAGGACGCCCATACATATTAGAAAGATATCTAAAGTGAGCTCCCTATAAGCAAGGGTTAATTCTTAGATCACCTTACTGGTGTCTCGTTAATAGGTACGTTCCAAATTTTCTAAGTATAGAACACAAATATCTGTGAAAATCCAACATCACCGTTCATGCTAATTTAGAACGGTGTCTCGTAAGTAGCATCGCTTCATACGCTACGTAGGACCGCTTTTTTTTTTTAATATAGCTAGATTTTAAAGCAGTCTACAAACCTCAGCTTCCATTGAATGGGCGACGACCATGGTTTACACTTACAAGAGATAGATTTCACTCGAGCAGACGGTGAGTCTCATAAGAATGGCAAACTTAAACCTGAGCGGCAGGTAACAGGTACTTGTACGCGCATTACCTTTGGAAGTATTACTTAAGGTGCATCGAAAGGCTGTCACAGGCCTTTTATACAGTGGCTCATAATATTGCAAAGACGTCAAAGTTAACCTGTTTTAGAAAACGTTCGACTTCGTAATTATTAAGGCTTAGCGTTGTGCCAACAGAATCTATTATACGTTCATGCAGTGCGCCGGTACATGCCTGAGGGCCAGTTTCCCGATTTGCCTACGTGCCTTCACAACGTCACGTTAAGAAATACTATTACTACGAAAAACTTTGCAATATATAAACGATCTATCTAAAGAGTATTGCGTCAGGCAGTATGTATACGGCGTAATTCGTTGAGCCGATTTTCGTTGCTAAGAAGTAACAAAGGTTTCTTTAGTAGAAAGAAAGAACGCTATAGGCTTCCGTAACTACAAACAGTAGCTAACGTAAACGTTACAACTATTTTATTTTTATATTACATTACATAAAATCACCTCATAGCCAAAGTCAGCGCGGTGATCTTTGAGTATAAATTTTTGGACTAGCTTGGCCTCTGAAAAATCCGCCCAACTGCTGTAGGCGTGAGCATTGCATCTAAAAGGTAAGGTCTCAATTAACCAACCTTCCAGGTATCGTTATGACATATCCGTTTGAGTAACCGCTTTGGCTAAGCATGAAGCAGTCAACCTTTAGAGCAGGTTCAGCCTTAGATGGACTCTCTGCCTTAGAGCCTGCTGTGATGATCGGGCCAACTATTAGGGCAGCTTTCGTAAACACAATACAAAACGACAAAGATGGCGTCTATCGTGGTTGATGGCCAGAGATGTCATCTTCATTAGCCAACAATTGCATTAGTTTGATTAAAGCATTACTGCCGTAACATTTCAGCTGTCTGTTGTAATACTTCATGTATATTATCTTCTAGAAACTATCGTATACGCCACAGTTTCAGTGGCGTTTTAACACTTTCAACAAATCGATAAGATAGAAGTATCATGTTAAAAGAAACCCTTTCCCATCGATTTTAGTCAATAGAATAATAGAAATAATGAATTTCATTTCTTGAATTTACTTTACATGTATGTATAGGAATTGTGGAAACATTATTCTGTCTAAGCTTCTTCATCATGCCAGGTACATTGTACGCAGTCTGATCTCATTTGGATAACGTTCACTTATGCTAATAATCGATAGCTGATAAATTATCCATAATTACAAGACAGCAATGTTCTCTTGCTACTTTCTCCTGTTTTTCCTTTTTTTTTTTTTTTTTTTTTGTATTGTTTTGTAGGCTTCTTACCACCAATGGAGAACGGGCGAGGTGGTAACAATGGTCTTTTGGACGTGGTCGCCGCTCTCCACTGGGTCGCAGGGAACGTTGCTGAGTTCGGAGGAGACGCTCGAAATGTGACCGTATTTGGACACGGACACGGGGCTGCCCTCGTAAACTTGCTCATGCTAACACCTATGGCCAGGGGTAAGTATTCCTCAGAGGTACGCGCTCCATGGCTACATATGTACATAATAATCCACTATGAAAAAGAATGTCAAGGTAGTGGGCAGCTAATTTGAAATTTTAAACTTAAACGGGCATGAAAGGCTTGAAATTATTTTGTCACAAATCTACCCATTGGCCATAACGCAAGAATTATGATTTTTAATGAGAACATTCTGCTAAAGGTTTGCGTTAGTAACGCACCTTTTATACATTAAATGCTCCATGGAATCTGGCTGGGTCTTAATGTATGACGCCTGAAGCAGCGTATTTATTTTGTAGTCACCACGAGACAAGGCCTGAGATCCGGCCCAGACATAAACATCCGATTGTTGTTATAACGATCAGATAATATTTATTTTAGGCCTCAAGGGATATATTCACAGGTACATACAAGCATACTATTTTGAGTTAATTTCATGGGCTAAATCAATAAACACGGCTTCTAATATATATTCGATCTAAAATATGTTTATACAGAATTTATTAACTCGATTTAGAATTGGGTACGATACTAATGTTGACTCATGCCTACTGCGTAGGACCTTTCGTTAATAGAAAATAGCTCGATATTTTTCTGCGTAAGAAGATTCATCTAGAATGATGCATGTAGATTCATTCATTACTAATTTTTGTGGCCCGTGCTAGTTCGACTTGAACATTGGAACTAGTGTCATGCTATTTGCAGACTACTGACCATCTACTGCCTGTTATTTCACTGCGTTCTCTCAATCGATCTTCCCTTTTTTCTTCTTTCAATAAATAATCTATGAAATTGTTGCCTTAGCAAGGCATAGCAGTTTGCAAGCGTTACACAGCAAATCGGCTAATGAAGATCGCCAAACACATATTCTAGCAACCTTAAGCTGACTTTTAGACACTGATAATGCAGCAACTAGAAGATATAAGCTAGAGGCTGTGTTCGAAAGTCTTTCCGGGACAATGAAGAAAATCGAGATAACCTATCAACAACACTGTGTGCTGTAAAGCAATGATCTTGCTCATTGGAATCCTTTAATCTTCAGAATCCTTGAGTCTAGTCTCTCTTGTCAAAATCTAGAATCCGAATGGTACCAGCCCAGAATTAGTCTGTGACGACTTGACAATTCAGATTTGTCGGATATGGTCATCCTGATTTACGAGCTTATTATGGGCGATAGCTTGACAAAAATTTCTATCGTGACCAGTTCGCAAATTAGCGCTCCATTTTTCTTCCTACGAAATGGTCTTCAAAGGTTTGTCTCATTCTATCAATACGCAACACAACAATGGGAATTATTAGGTGTTAGTGATAATAATATAAAACGATGGGGTTTGCGTATATGTAGATTTGATCCCATATACAGTGCTATATTATTTTTAGTGAACATTGTTACTCGAGGCACATGAAGTTGGAGTCCTCTTGGTCATAGAAATCCCTTTTTACGCAGCTCACCATTGGGGTGACATCACATACTTGGGGAGCTTCTCTAATAAGAGCCACCGCTTGTCCAAACAGCTTACGAGGGTAAAGCTGACACAACGCATATACGATGCTGGAACCTATATAACAACCAGATAAAAGAGAAAAGAAAATTTTAGTTCTTATCATTACCGCATAATCACTTAAAATTCATATTATTATTATCATATCGCTGAATATTCGTATACTCATATAGGTCAACATTAGGTAAATAAATACAGCGCGGTTCTTGGCGTCAAAATAGCTTGAAAATGGAACGATAGATCTGGTTTAGGTTAGACTTCTGTTCACAATTCATCAGCTCAACTTGCTATAGGATCTCAAACTTGTGCAGCGTACCTACTTAGCCTTAAACCTGTTATGCAATCATGGTGCAAAAAGGTCGCGACTTCTCTAAGGGCGGGTCGAACAAATAATTGGCGATTCAAATAAACGATCTTAGGGAGGTGGACAAAGAGGCTGAAGCTCTAATCCCGAAACATCGGGGCTATTTTTTTTTAAAAGAGGAATCAATCGCTTAATGAAAATAGTAAGTTACAGTTCTAAGAACTGTGTTTGTTTTTACTGATTTATTTTACCAAAACTCTTGGTTGTTAATGAAACGTGACCTGTTTCGCCTGCTTATTTATTCTGCTTTACATTATAGGCCTGTTTCAACGTGGAATTATGATGTCAGGCTCTGCGTTGAGTCCGTGGGCAATGTCACGAGATTCGGTGAAATACACCCGCCAGGTCGCCAAGGAACTAAACTGTCCCACAGACGACAATCGGGCACTAATCGAGTGCCTCAGAAATCGGTATGGTCATTATATATTAATATAATATATTTATAATTAATTTATATATTGTATTAATATATATAATGTAATTAAAAGTATTAATGATAGATATAATCATTGTTACCTGTGTTCCCTAAAAAATCATCTTTATATTAGTTTTTCCCTATTTTGATTCAATTTTCACAAAGGACAAAAATTATTGTTAGCAACAGCAGAAGCATTATCGTAATTTTATTGCATGCGTTTCCACTGCTGTTCTATGTTTTTAACGTTCTTTGTGCCACTAACCTAATGATAATAATACTCTTTAATTTGTTTATTGGCAATTCCCTACTGTAAATCTACACAGAGGGATAGATAAAAACATATCTAGTTGCATCTGACCCATTATAGTTTGCTTATCAAAGACAATATGGATATCTGTATTAGCTGTTTGCTACCTTACTTTATTTGGCACGTGCGGCTCTTATTAACTGCGGGTCGCACTAAATGGACTGCTCCATCGGCTATTTTATGTCGCAGGGCGGTAACGGATATCCTTCGTGTGAGTCTCGAGCCCCCCGAGCACCTGTCAGCCTTTGGTCCCGTTGTCGACGGCATCGTTATATCAAAGGAGCCTTCACTCCTGATGGAGGACCATGGTGCCTCCTTCTACAAAAACTACGAGATGCTCGTTGGAGTTGCAAGAGTGGAGGTGAGTGTCATGCGGGGCAAATGCCAGAACGAAGTACAATGACAGGTGATATGTGAGCGCTATGTGGGCAAAAAAAAAGACAAACGGGCTTCCGATGCATGTATTTGTACACAACGCAATTTAACTGCACATTTATTTATTCATTTATTGTATAAATGGAAGATATAGATAGACAATTTCTTTCTTAAAGGATTAATGTATAAATTTTGTCTACAGGGATATTTGCTACGCTAAGCATTTGCGGCATAGATAGGTTGCTTGCTGTGTCGCTGACGTAAGGTATTAGCCAACGTTTTCTAACATCTTTCTCTGCTCCAGGTCCTGCGTTGGCATTTGTTTTAATCCTACTGTAAAAAAAATGTGCAATCTCTCTGCACACATTTTTCTGTTTACTGTGCGTTATATATTTGTTAAGATAGCTAGCAGACGTCAAATAGATCTTTAGTTACATGAATTCCTAGCCATATTAATTGCCAAATGCGAATAGCTTACATTCCCTTGAAATTCTGCGATACGTCTGAGCGATGCATGACCTGATACGTATAATGCGTTAGCGCTAGCATTGAGAAAAAAGCGCGGTTCTGCAAACCTAAGATACATGAGACAAAATTACGGCCAGGTTGATGAAAAGATGAAAGGCTGATGGTGGTGGCTGCATTAATATCATCGTCAGGCGGATTTTCAAGGAACAAATCATTGTAGTATTGTCAAGCTGACGGCACTCGCGTACGCAACCGACATTGGTCGTTACTGAAATCACCACATGTGGGATCCCCTATACACCAATCGCAACCCCACTCATGGTTACTATTGAACGGCCACATCGATGTTCAGCATTAGCGGGCGGGCCAGTCAGTCGAACGAGCCGCACGTTAACACAGGCCGTAAGCCCTTCAGTAGCAGGCCGAACAGGCGAGCGGCCACAGTATTCTGGTCCTGTATATGTGAGATAGGTGAATGTCAACGGGATGGACGGACAAAAAGGACCGTTGCCGCTGCATAGCGCAGACGTTGCATGTTGGCTAGCCCCTTTCGATGGTGCTGCTCTTTCCATGGGGTGAATATTTGTCTATCTTTCCATGGGGTGAATATTTGTCTAGGAAATAGCGAGGACCGGCACAACGTACCGCTCTTTGGTAATGCAGAAAGGTACAGCCACAAGCTGTTTGCTCTAAACTGTCTTCGATAGGCCACATTCATGACGACTGTTGGAGATGCGCTGACGTCATCTCCTTCCTCCCCGTTCTCTGTCACGCTTTCATAGTTATTTCACCATAAGATTACTGCATTAAATAGTCACTCTTAATTTTACTTAGGCAGCCCCATCTGTCTAGCTGCCCTATCTACTTTTCATCGATATCCTCAGAGCAGTCTTGGTTGTGTTGCTGCTGCTGCTATCACTATGGTTGTTGTTACCACTTTTTGCGCGAATTTGGCGCGATAGGGTGGGATTCCAGCTTGCATTTTTTAACTGCAGCGTTCACTGAAGTCAATGTTTTTCTCTCTGTTCGTGGTCATACGCCGATACCTATTTTAATGTTATTTTAATCTTAGTTTTTTTTCTAAACGCGTTTTTTGACTTTTTCTACTTTAGGCGTACTTTTTCTTGGCGGCCGCCGAAGAGAAATACGGAATCGAGATTGACAGGCGAGACCGAGTCCTGCGAACGCTTATTCGCAATTTGTACAACTTTCATCAGCAGGAAATCTTTCTTACCGTGGTCAACGAGTATACAGACTGGACAAGGCCGTTTCAGCATCCGTTGAACGTCCTTGATGGTGTGTGAAAACTAATTTTTAAAAAATGTTCGTTTGTATTTTGCCCAATTGCTCAATGAGATGTTACGTTTCGAACCGAAGCGAATTAGCATATAACTAAATTAAATGACTTTGGACAAAATTAGCAGAGAAGGCAGCTTAAATATTTATGTTTAGAAAAAAAATTATTTTTATTAAGAAAATAACACGTCTTCTTATTGCTTAAGCCAATTTTTATACGGCTAATACATATGGTATCGAAATTTATATATGCCACATCGCTTGTTGACCCCACAGGCACCGCGGAGGCAATTGGTGATGCGTTGGTCGTAGCGCCTCTTGTGAAGGCAGCAAACCTACATGCTAAGATATCGAAGAATACGTACTTTTATGTGTTCGGTTATCAAACAGAGCATGGCGATTATCCCACCCGTATGGGCTGTATTCATGGAGAGGAGCTGGCTTATATTTTTGGGGCGCCGCTGGTCTCCCATCTGGGCCATTTTCCCAATAACTATAGCAAATCGGAGCAGGCGTATGCGGAGGCAATTATGAGCTACTGGTCCAACTTCGCTAGATATGGGTACGTATTTACCTTAACAATTTCGAGCGCCTTCAATTTCGATAGAGTAATACATTTTTTTCAAACTAAGGTTCGTTTTACGACTGCAAAGGCTATGTTGCGGAATCGTTTGTATGAGCAATTAGGCAAGAAACACCTTAAGTAGGCATCAGAATTGAATTCAGAACCACCCCCATTTATTGGCTATACGTACCGGATAATATAGCTTTAGCAAGTTTTTATTCGTCTCTGATCTATATTAACGGCCTCTATTGGTGCTTGCCAAACGTATTGTTCGATGTCGATGTCTCAGTGATCCTAGTAATTCGATGCACGAGGCAAACGCCGCTAGCGAAACGCAGCCGACGCCCACTTCTGAGCAAAGGAAAGGTCGCTTTGAGAGGACGGCATGGCCCCCATACGACCTGGCGCACCAGAAGTACATGCACCTTGGAACGAAGCCCAAGGTTAAGGATCACTATCATGCGCACAGATTGTCGTTGTGGACCCATCTTATCCCCCAGCTACACAGGTAAGTGACCAGGTACTAAATAGAAAATGGTACATATATCCTCTATATACACTTCCTTTAATTATCCATGAACTATACTCATAATGTCGCTATTAATTATGCGATTTTAATGTGACCAATTAGCTGTCCCGTCTATTACTAACCATCGAGCGATTTTTGTTTGCCTCTCCTCGTTCTTGTGTCGTATACTATGCATCGCGTATTCTTCTATTGCTGGCGACAATACACCACACTGCTAGATGTAATTACTTATTACGCTAGTCTAAGAGGGCGTACGGTACAGTAAAGCAATGTCACACGTGCTGTGGCGTATTACTCCCAGCATGGTTATGCCCATGATGGCGGTTTGTGTTAATTGAAAAGCAAAGGGACCATGCGATCGGATGGTTTTGCTTCATTTGCTACTGCTGATAATGTACAAATGGTAGCACGAAAGGGAGACTACATCTTAAAAGAAGCTTTATTTGGTGTCAGAGAAAGGCTGCCCAGCTACAGGGACGCAAACGCCCATGTCGAGCATGACTAAGGGCGACAGGTTGCATCAGGTATATCGTGGGATCTGCTTCGCAGACATATGGAAGGCTTTTAATGCGACAATGGAAATAGATGGTACGAATGACAAGGCTGCATAGTAAGACGCAGGAGCAGAAACGAAAATGGCTAGTGCCGTTCTTGCGAACAAGGAATCGTGTGACTATCCTAGAAGGAGCCGGCAGCCACTTAATGAACCAGTCATAGTGAGGCACGTAACATAAACTGTCGAACAAAACCCCTGGCTCGGGCCAGCTAGTTCGGCTGTCGCTTAGTCGCGCTGCGTGGAGCCCAGTTGCCGTTACGAGTTCCGGTTATTGTTGTTGTTGTTGTTGTTGTTGTTGCTGCGATAGAACCCGTTAGTAGCTTTAGGCGAGAGGGCGTAAAGTGTCTCTTGGCTCCATTCATCTCGGCCTATTTAAAGGGGATACATAAGCCGGTCCATATACTGTAATACTAGGCCAAGTGAGAGAACTAAAAGTAGACAAAGATTAGAACTAGCGGTCGCTGGTTGGTTATAGTCCTAGCAAGACGGCCCTAACAAATTTAAGGTCGAACTGGATGATAAATAACTAGAAAAACACTATAAAAGATACATATGCTACCAAACCGTATTCCTTGCATTATTCCGTTACAAACATCTGTCCATGTCTGGCTGGACATTTGGTTACCCAACTTGTACGTTCACGGAAGCAGACCTGGAGGCGCCGAAGTGGGCCCGCTGCATCATTTACTAGAAGACCACGACAATCCCTTGAGTTACGATGGACGTATCGTGGCGGACCAGCTTGGCGTTGAGACTCAACGTGCCGCGTCCCCATCTGCGTCTGATGTCGTATTGCAGCAACAGCAGCAGGCGGGAGGTAATATGGTCGCGCACGGCAAAACTACCGACAAAAAGGTTAGTCATTCCAAGTGCTTCAGTTTAGCCATTTACATTAGCATTGAATTGAAGGACAAATGAAACGAAGCGAGTATCTAGCTTTGAGCATAATTTTATTGAATTGAGCTAGATCATTATATTGCGATAGAACATAGAATTGTTTGAGTTATTACATTATTTATCTCGTATACCTAATTTACGAGACAACCTTTACGTGAGTGGAGCAAAGTGTCCGAGTATTAACGCAAAGCACCAGCTATTGATGTTCGTATATATTTAGTGCGGTTTTCCTTTACTATAGCAAATATGAATATATAACTTAAGTAAAACTTTAAAAAATCTTAAAAAATATATATATATATATATATGAGATATAGAGCTAACATACGTCAATAGAAGACGGAATTCTTTCTACTGCTCAACTGCTACATGCATAATGATTTCCTCTGGTTGAAAAAGACTAGGAGTCATTGCTTCAAGTTGCGCTAACACGCAAATTGTGTAAACAAAGGAACCGAAGTTATAATGACGCTCTCCTAGAGCTCAATAGTACTAGTTATAGTCTGGATATAATAAAGACAAGCACCGAATCGTCACCCTTCTTTCTTTATCTGTCCTGTTTTCGCTCGTTCCATATTTCCGGTATTTGTCCAATTTGTGGTCATGTTGTTTTCCTCATCCCACTTTTTCGATGTTCGCCTGCGGTTTCATTCATCCTATACCGACATGGTCGTTAACATCGGCCTACGTGAACAGGCCGACGAGGTTGGAGGTGCCGGAAGTCTGGGCGGTGGGGCAGTAGCAGTCTCTGGCCCCGACAATGCGAGTCCCGTAAACGGGTCGGGGGCCGCACTGCCTCCGGGCTATGATTCAATGCTCCTTCAATACGGGGGCTATTCGACCGCCCTGTCGGTCACTATTGCCGTTGGATGTTCTTTACTTATCCTCAATGTGCTCATATTTGCTGGAGTCTACTATCAGAGGGACAAAACAAAGCTCGAGGCCAGGTTGCACAATCGAAAGGCAGGTGATGTGTATTTTCCACCCTATGATACAAGATAATTTTACCTCTATTTAGTAACAGAATGACCCTTGTAACAATATTCAGTATAACGTATTACATGCACAATCAGTTTGTATGTGTATATAATTGGACTGTAAAAACCTAGAATCTCGCGAAATCACAGGTCATTAGTGTAAACGTATTTGGCAATATAAAAATTGCTTGTGTAAATTTTTGTTTTTATTAATGCGGTCGTATTGGTTGGAACTTTCATGATGAGACGATGAAAATTAGTTACAAGCAGATAAATCATAAATGTTTAAAGGTAACCATGGTAATTTTGTAAACTCTAAGCTAATAATATTCACACAATTTCTTTTCATATTCAATATATGCAGTGGCCTATAATAATTAAAATCAACACACAGGCTAAAATACCTAACAGTAATGATTTGTCACACGTAAATGGTGCACTAAAAAACAACCTAAAAATACCCTATTTACATACTAGCTAGCTGTTCGAAATTGAATATTTCGTAACAATGTATCCCTATACAAAAAAACATAATATACCATAATAGCTCCCTTACCGCGATGATTTTCCATTTCGTCTTCTGTTTTTATGCTTCGATCGGATTTTTCGCACACCTTCTCCACCCTATTAACTATCACTGGCTTCAATTGCCGCCGCGGCCTTGAACAGGCGGAGAAGAAGGACGATGCCAGGAAGTCGCAGGAGAACGCTGGCATGAGGTCCGCCGCAAGCGGGTGCAGTTTAACCTCCGCGAGCAACTGTAGCCTCACCGTCAGCCCACTTAGCAAAGAACAGCAAGAAATGCGTGCTACAGCTCAAGCTTTGCGAAACCCACCGCCCAACAGTCGTTTACCGCAGCAAATGTGCACTCCAGCTGTAGCCGATGATCAACACTATCAGCAACAACTTCCGCATCAGCAACAGTCACAGCAACAGCAGCTTCACGACTTCCACCAAGAGCAAAGCTTGCCATCTGCCATACTTCACGGTCGTCAACAGCTGCAGATAGGAGGCGATACCCATAACCATGGCCAGCAAATGCACACGGCAACTATCAATCCTCACCATACGCTTCACGTCGCCAGTGGAGGCACGAACGGCAACAGCAGTTCGATTCCTCATCATCACGTATCTGCAGTCAAACCACCCCTGCCGCCACAAGTAAGCGAAACAAATCAAATGAACTGGTACGATGGCCTATAGTGACCAGTAGGTTTATAAAGTGAGTAGCTCAAAATGTTTTATTATTATTATTATTATTATAAACGAATGTTAGGAAAATTTGTTACCGATAAAAGTTTCGTATCCTCTTTTTTTTTTTAAATTTCACGAACTATGAAATTTTGGATCGCAAAGCCGTAAAAGGCTACGTACATTACCATGTTCAGTCATCTGACAATAGGTGACGCTGTTTCAGGTGCCAAACACCCAGCAAACGGTGCTCCGCGACCCCGGCTACCAAATGGGACAGAGGACAGCTAACTCACAACCTCCCGATGTGATGGCAACGACGTTGGCCGCAGGAGTCCTTCAGCAGACACTGCCGCGACAAGCAAAGTCACCTTTTGCCAGACACTCGATGTAAGTGCTTCGAAAGGCTACGTGAACTTAACTTTAACCGAGAAAAGTTTGTCAAAGATAGATTTTGGATGGTCACCTCGTAAATATTGTTTCGCCGTAAACAATATTACGAGCGAACTAACGTTTCTTTGCGTTGATACTGATCGAATCTATCGAATCTTTTCGTCGGCCAAATTTTAAATGACAAAACTCTACTGAAGATTAACTAACTCAGATTGACTTAGTAAGCTTTTCATCCCCCAGCCTTATTTTCGCTTTCTTTGGGGGGTATATAGTTTCAAAGTGCTTAAAGTTTTGTTCGATTGGTAATTTGAGGCACGGAAAAATTACGCCGCACGGTATAAAGTTTATCTGAACTGAATGTCAACACAACCAAACTGCTCTTGCAGGGGAACTCTACCACGACTGTCACGCCCACAGTCGACGATAGACCCTCGCTATGGATCCGGGTCACCACAGCACCACATAGCCAATAGTGTAACATCTAACGTCATCTTTACGCTGCCTCAGACCAACAGCCCTAACCTTTCCAAAGCAGGACAAACGACGGAGCTCGATATTATCACCAACTTTAATCATAATGCTCAGCATTGATTGTTTTCGAATAATAGGTCGAAAAATACGAGTGCGTGTATGATGAATCATTTAGAAATGGAGCAGATATAATGGCGGCAAAAATAATCAAGGTGGATTCATAGTTGGAAAAAGAAGAGTAAACAAATGACAAGCCTTTTCCTAAGGAATTACGTTCCCAACGGTTCGATAAGAGGCACCTTAGATTCTATTTATAGAGCTGACCTGGGATTCACACACGACATCAACGAAGACGCTTAATCACTACTGAAGAAACGATAAGAGGGGGGTCGGTTGAATACGAACTCAAGTCGAGGGACTCTGATCCACGAATGGTCACACCATGATGGTTACAATAACCGGATACTTAGCTGAAAAGGGGATTTGACTTCGCTTTTGTCTCTGATGTACATTCGAATTTTCGAGCTAAGCATGAGTTAGACAAACGACAACTCGAATAAGTACATCTCGACGCTGTTTTATTATAAAACTAATAACGCAATTTTGCCGACGATGATCGATGTGGCCGCTTTCAGTTCGAAAAATCTCTACAATATACAATCCTTCGTAAAAGATATATCGTTCTAATAACTTGATACCGTATAAATTAGGAAGGCCCCACGTTATTGAAGTCTGTGTCCGACGTCTAGGTAAAGGGTATCGATCCTGGTAGCGGCTATAGGAAATCGAGGCATGACTGCCAGGCTTGGGAAAGCAGCCTTCAGGTTTTCCTACAAATGTCGAACAGGCTGAAAGCTAACACGAAATCGTTTGACCGTTCCCTTAAGTCTCTATCTGTGTATTATGAAAGAGCATGCTCGCTGTTCTGACGTGAGCCTGCTTTGTGAAGGTGATAGCTATGGGCTGTAGACGTCGCGACTCGTGAATGCTGCAAACGATGGTGCGGTCTTGAGCGAACTAGATTTCAGCGTGCATAGCTTGAATCAAAGCTACACATAGCCGGAGAGGAGATTTTATCTGTTTTTATCTATAAGGCTTTCACACGAACAAATGCGTACGAACTCAATTCACCCAGCGTCAATTTGTTCACGAATCCGCGAATAGTAAAACCAAACGAGACATTGCGACATTAATGAACATTGATGCGTTAGGGTAATTTAAGCCACGCTATACATAATGCCATCAGCACAATAAGTACGACAAAAGCACGAAGAAGATATAAATAAAGGCAACGAATAGGGGAAAAAGTTTCGAAGGATGGTAAACGTAAAGATAAATATAGAATAGTATCTATTTTGTGACAACGATAGGAAAGTGATTTTTTTAATGATGCACAAGAACAGCGTTTTTTTGTGGAGGGGATTCGATTTTTTATTTTGAGGAATCGAAAAAAGTGGAAGTTATAATATGACCGTAAGTTAGCTGCTTGGCCTGAAACACAGTTGACAGCTTAAGAGTCGCTTTCTTTAGAAAATGGTTATCGATTGCGAAATTCCCACTGACCACGTGGGAAAAACCTCTATTTGAATTGCTGCGATCAAATTGCTGCTTTATATTGTCAGTATATTATTTGAAGATGAGCTGAATTGAGATCAGATAAGGAGGACGGGTTTTTTGCGACAACAACAACAGCTGCAGCAACAAGATCAACAATACTAATAACAACACCAAGCGCAGTTAAACGCAAGACGGCGACGTTGAAAAACTAGCTACGATGTTCTTCTTATGAGTACATAAGCACAACGACGGAGCTCTCTCTCCTTCCTATGCCCTCGTGAACGCTGAGAAAATTTGGGGTCGTCATGGGAGGATCATAGTGCACTACTATATGTTCTTATTATTAGTTATATATAGAAGGACAGAAGGAGGCAGTATATACATCTGTGTATATTGTAAATTACGACAGCTGAATTACGAATGAAACGAGTTAAGGAAAACAACCGCAACGAATATTTAGGCAAAAACCACCTTACATTGTCCAGAGTATGTTGAGTTGGCCTTTGATGTCATGTTCAGACTTGGTTCTAATCCTTTCTTCCTTTTAACCAAATAGACCGTGACTAATTAAAGACATACAAAATCAAGCGATACTTTCTTTTAAGTTTTCTATTTTGACGTCCTTATATTTGTCACTGTGTATCTATCGTATCCAGAATTTTAGATGATAGCTCCATTAGAAGCGTTCTTAATGTGTTGGTGAGTTTCTCAAGTTGAGTTTACCTTTTAAAATCTTTACGGCCCGCCCTATAAAAGCCTCTAAAGAATAGAGAAAACGCTCAATAGTTTATTAGAGAAATGTATAAAAAAAAAAACAGTGAAAATGAGACGAGTCAAATTGGCCGTCCTAATTATCCGAACAATTCGATACGGAAAAATCGATCTCCAAAGAGGAAGTTAGCATCAAAAGTGATATAGGTTTACGATATAGGTTCCCCGGCAAAGTGGTCCATTGGCAAAATTCCGACAAGGGCTACCTAAAGCACGGCCAACGATGCGGCATGCGTGAAAAGGCAAAGTGTAAATATATGTTGATTATCTGTAAATAATGACAATTAATGAAGAGAAAGTCAAAATGATGGATCGCATTTTTTAAGACATATATAAGGATGTTTTCATTTATAATGTAGTAGGTAAGAATGAAAAGTTTCAAGGTAGATAATAACGTGCATGAAGGCTGTGCGTAAATTAGCAATATCCGGACTTGCTTTCTTAGGTTAGTTTAAACTTTTCCTAGATAATGACTGGATCGACGCTGTCGAAATCGGCTAACCAAGTTCGAATATATATATGTACATACAGCTAATTTTTTCACCATTTACTACTACTATTTAACTTAGGCACACTATGGACTGAGCACGCAGCACAGTTCTATATACTTTACGAGGCTATCGTATCGTCACGTGCCGATTTGATTCGACGAAGATAACTCTGGACAAATAAAGTTATTTTTTTTTTAATTAACAATTAACTCTAATAAGAAACAAAACACTATAAATTCAGTAATATTGTATAATTAAACGGTTCCTTATAATCGGTCCGGAACTTGCTATAATTCTTTTTCAAAGAAATTATCTTTTTTTAACCCATTAACATAGGTGTAACAGCATATTTGGAGATGTGAGACCAGCCATACTTTGTCTTGTCTCCACTATGACAAACCATATGTACCTGTGGTCATATCTTATTAAGGCCACTCTAAAAAACTGTGAACAAGCACACCAGCTCAAGCGCACACCAAATCCAATGAGGTAAGTTTAGACCAGAACGCGCGACACGATATTAGATCGTTTCGTCAGATCACTTTGGACTGTGGACACATCGTAGTACGCTGTTACGACTGAGACCAGGTATGGGCTAACAAGCCCGCCCAGGTTTTATCTTAGCGGAGGCTTTCGTCCGGGCATAAGAACTTTCCGTTCTCTCATCGCCCTGCCTTGGGTTGTCCCAGTTGTTCGGATCAGGCTTGCCTTTCTGCCTCCCTTTTGCTTTTGCATTCCCGCAAACGCGTTCTCTGGCGATCTCCTAGCAATAATGCTAGTGGCGGTAGCACTCCCGAATTCGTCCAGCCTAGATCTAGGACCGGCACGAAACCGCCCATGTCTATTCGATCTCCTAGTTGCCTAGGCTTTCCTTGTCTAGCCTCTCCTAATAACCCAGGGCTTTCAACTAGACGTCGCGAGCCTCTGTTCGCGAGATCCTTTGTTCCCCAAGACCCGACACAACAACCAGTGAGCCTCGAAGCTCTAGCGAGCTAGCTAGCCAGTTCATCCAGATTGGCTGGATTTCATTAGGTTCTCCAGCGTCTTTTTACTTGTCTTCGTGTTTTCGCTGATGAACAGTCAACAGCTCTGTATCCGCTATACACATGGCTGTCCCAGGCCACAAATTTACCCTTAACTGTTCTTGTTCCATATAGCGGTTTTACAGTCTGAAAAAAACTATGCCGGGAAGCGGTCCAACCTACTTTGCACGAGCATTGCCGAGTCATGCTTGACTCATATCTGCCCCAAGATCTGAGTTCCGGTAGCCGTGATAACCGCCTCTGTGTGCCAGAATAAGGCCACATTACCGATCTGTTGTTGACTTTCCTTGTTGGGGGATGTTTGTATTTTTACACATTCATTACACACTCATATGATGCCATTGAAGACAGACCCGGTCACAGTTAAGGCCGAGGAAAGCGCCATTTAGCAGTAAAGGCGAGCTGCAACAGAGATACGCGAGGATCTTGTTAAATGTCATATATCGCAAGCTATGCCTACCTGTAGGTCTTTTGCGAAAAATAATGTGCTATGAACTACATTGGTATATAGTTCGTTGCCGACAATTTTGAAGATGAGCCTTACCCACACACACACACACACCCACTACATATGAACCTACTCTTTTGATATATACTGGTGAGTGTCAGTACTTCTCCATCTTGTAAATTATTGATAGAAGGAAATATGCAGTACCTTATATGCATAAACACCAACTGATTGTCGGTGACATTACAAAGCGATGCTTTTGCACTATGGTAAGACTGCTCGGACTAAAGGCAGACTTCGTTGTGCTTGAGGGCCAGTTGGCTATGGGATGAACATGTGCAATGGGGATACATGTAAACTGTGTCGGATGCACACTCAAATTCATATTTTAATCAACATGTAGGAATAAATTCAACATCGTAATATTAGTTTAACTCAGGCTCTCTTTTGGTTGCGAGAGACTTATTTGCCGTATTAGTAATCGTATGGCCCTCTGGTGCTAACAAGCCCACCGATTTAAGATGTGAATGTCATAGTGCTTTTGTCCTATATTGACTTTTTCAACACTTTATTAATAATGTTGGTTTTCTCAAATGCCATCTTATATACCGTATGACTGTAAGTCGCCATTGCAACATGGATTGTGTATGGCAGCAGCATTTGGACGTATGAGAAGCTGGAGTTTTTTTTTTTGGTGAGGATTACCATTTTTGTTTGTACTAACAGCACGATAATGCGTTCGCAACAGTTACGTTCACAAACACTTAAATAGCAGAAAGAGACTGTATTAAGGTGTGCATTTGTTGCTTATTTGAGAACGAATGTAGTTTAGTGTTCTTATCGATTGAAATGACAACAAATATTTTCCTAATACGTGGAATCAGCGGCCATGAAGCCTCGAACATGATGCGATCCAGTTTCTGATTCAGGAAGTACGTATCATCCTAGAGATATTTCATTGCTTTCAGTTAGTCCTAGAGTTTGTGTGTGGATTGCTGCATCGCTCCTATCGCCGATTGAAGGCAGATGCAGACTTGAAACACAAGAGATGAAAATCTTTTCTTCGATCTGTGCTTGATGTCATTCAAGAACCGGTGTTGCCCTAGCATTTTAACACCTCTACCACACATTTATTACATCAACCAATGCAGTATCTTATCACTAAGACCGTACTCTGCATTTTTTTAAATAGTCCGGCGCCGTTCGCAGGACGGAGATGATATATTCTAGATTTCATCTACTCTTTTCTCTATTTCGAAATTGTGCAAATTTGCATACTCCACTCTTGAAGTATCTGCTATGAAACTTTTACGTTAACAGTTTCTGGTGACATAATCATAAATTTAATACGTATATATATACATACACACTTGCATTTCGTGCCAGATCACACGATGCGTTCAAATCAGGTTTTGCACCATCCCCGTAGTAAGTTAATAGTTTGAGTTTTTAGCTGGCTCACATTCTGATTGGTTGATTTACGATAAATTATAAAAGTGGCTTTTTATTGGCTTCCAAATTGAGAACGTTCCTAAATTTTTCCTCACAACCTTTGGCCTGCTATAATCAAAAAACGATATTGTGAAACACAGACTTCCTAGTTCGGCCTGGTGTCCAGCTCGCGAGTGACTATCAACTAGCACTGTCAGCTTACAAGAATATTTTTCCCCCCACTTGCTTGCTTACCCAGACATGTTTCTTTTATTTGGTTAAGCGACTTCGCATTTATTGACCTTGCAAGGACCCTTCACACCCGTACCGTCCACAGGCGGCACAAAACGAACAAATATCATACATTAGCTAATCAGGATCATCATTAGTAAAAGCTTTTAAATAGGTACTGAAGGTAGCCTATTTAATTATGTTTAAATGTTCAGCGCACGCGCGTGCCCCGGCGAAAATTAAAGTATGAGAACACCTAAATTTTTCGATAAACTTTCGCGGAGCGCAGCTGGTATAATTACTTCTTTTATTATTTTTTTTTTACGAGAAAATTGTCATGACGAACAGCATCGTGCCGTATCCGAAATTCAAGGTATAATTGGCTATTGTACGATTTTTCTACCATGGACAAACCCCTACCATGATTATAAACTTTTTTTTGTTTAACATCGACAGTCCATGTTGCTTTCACTTTTCATGAGGCATCTAAAACATTTGAAGATGTCTTTAATAAAGCAAATCAAAGATTTTAATGGACTTTAGGTTTAGAGAAATCAAATGTCTCAAAAAAATATACCTAGGTTTTTACTGTCGAAATATTCTGTCGTTTTAGACAAGAAAATGTCAACGGCGAATTGGGTCGCTCGAATAGGTTCCTACGGCTACGTTTTTCGTGAGTTTGCATTTACTAATATTGTGGACCATCAAAGCAATGTTTTGAAAACAACACGCTCTTGCTTTGAAGCCCGACTCGACGAGGTGTCAGTTATATTAAACAAACGTGACCGTGAAAGGAACAAAAAATTGTAGACATATATGTCTTAATTTAGATGAAGTCTTAGAAACAAGGCATAAGAAAAGTCGTCTAAACGTTGTACCTTGTATATATACAAGGTATATTAAAAAAATATGTACACTCCAATTTAATTGGACCCTCTTTTTTGACACTACAGTGACTGGTGTCATTATTTTAATTGACTGCAAAAATCGGCTTTAGTACGCATTTGAAAAGACATCAGTGACAATAGTGTATTTTATTTTCAACAGCGCTAAGCATTATGACGTAGAAGCGTATCTTCATGATAATGTTTCAAATAGATACGTTGGATGAAAAGGTCCCATTGAACACTCCCATCGTTCCCCAGGGGAACCTGACATCAAGGGACTTTTTTGCGGGGCCTATCTAAAAGATTAAGTTTACGCCAGAGAGGCAAGAATACTAAAAAATCTAAAAGCGGCAATTGAATGACTTGTGAATCAATAACACACTGTTAGCAGCAGTATCTTAATCATATTGAACGCCCATTAAAGTTATGCATTTGGCGTACTTTACCGTATATATATATGTAATGCACATATTTCTGAGATATGAAGAA